ATTTGACTTCTAAACTATATTATGGCTTAATACCATCTACAAGATAAATTCTCCACTTCTAGAAGAGACTTTCATTGATCTAAAAATCAAAAACTTTCATTTGTATAGTAGTGTTTACTATATAATTATTTTATATAGTAAAATATAAATTACAATAAATATACTTGTTTAAAACAATAACTATATAACGTTATTTTCTACTTGTAACTGATATCCACTATCATAAATTTTAAATATTTTTTTAGTAATTATTGTAAAATATTAGTACAAAGTGAAACCAAAATTAATGATCTATATATATAACCCATTCAACAGGTGTCCGTCCTTCCTTCTGTCCCGTAACCGTTTGATAACCGACACTAGAGGCGCCCCTATCGTGTGTCATATTTCAAACATTCAAATTAAATTAACAATTTTAATTATTATTTAAATTAACAATATAAATTATTATTATTCATTTGGCCAATAAATTATTATTTGGTCAATATAACAATATAAATAATTCAGTATATTTGTAATAGGAATTTATTATTGTCACGGAATGCCTGTAATGTTCACTAGGGGGCGAATAACGAAAAACCGGATAGATTTGAACCGCTACGATAAAACGATAAGTGAAATAGTTAAGCTAATATTTTAATATAATAATAGAAACCTTTCATGGCACGACCAAAGAAATACGCCACTGTGGGGGAACGTAAAGCTGCCACTGCTGCGAGACAAAGGGAGAGACGTGCGCAGGAAACATTACAGAGAATAGCACAATCAACACGTGGAGGCTTGCAGAATGAAACTCATGAGCTCAGATCTGCAATGTTGCACAGGCAGGCAGAAGCAAAACGACACAGAAGACAAAATGTCACAACAAGGCAAATTGATTCCAAATAATTATACTTTTTTTTACCAACAATGTTGTGTATACAGAAGTTTTATGATGGGATAAATGATGGAATACAGAACACAGCTAAAGAATATCTTCAGTCTGTAATACAGAAATACTATTTGCTGTGTATTGATCTGTTAACATTACTTTTTAACATGAACATTTGTATATATTTATACTTGATTTTTTAATCATATTAATTCTATTTATTTGAACAATTTTGAGTAAAGAATAGATTCACTTTCTCATGTACAAATACTGTTGGCTGTTTGTGTATTGATATTTTAAGTTTAGTTTCTAAGATGAAGAATTGTATACATTTATATATATTAACTGCATCAAACTTTTAAACATTAAGCGCACACAACTTTCATATATTAAGTGTATTAAACATGCCTCAGGAATTTGTAATGCTGCTGGAATGCCCACTAGGGGGCGTCCCGGGCTACTAGTTTTATATAAATCATTGATTTTGGTAAGATGATTTTGTAAAAAAGTGTATTTGTGTAAATGCTGAATTGTATAATTATACATGTGTATGTATATATAAACATACACACATCTCTTTTTTCATAAAATTAAAAAAATGCTTTATAATATACTTTACATTAAATTTCATTTATATTTAATATAGAATTACTGTTTTAGACAGTTTGTGCATTTTTCTTCTGAACATTACCTATCTCAATATTTATCAAGCATATGTAACATAATTTATGAAAAATTAAACAAATTTATATGAAGTATTAGTGATGTAACAAATATTCGGTTACTTTTTGGTATTCAGCCTATTTTTCGCTATTCGGCCGAATACCGAATATTTACTCACTATTCGGCCGAATACCGAATACCTAAAATCTGGAGTAAGAAATAACAAACACAGTAAATTAATCATTTTGGTATTTAGATTTAATGTTATCAGGTTAGTGTTATTTGTTTATATTTATTTATAACTTATAAAACATGCACATGCATATAATAAAAAAGAAAATAATATTAGTCACATGTATTCACAATTTATAATTACAATGGTCAGCACACGTACACACCTATTCGTTTGAGAATTGTCGCACGTCTGAGGGTCCGACCCTGCCTATCCTTCTTTTTAAGTGCTCATCTTTCCTCTTCCCTTTCTTTTTCCTCTAACGCTCTAGTCCACGTATGCCTATGCATACATCAAAATATGCACTCATGATACTTTCGATTCGTCACTTTTCCATTGTAGATTTCCCATTTTACAATTATGTGACTCAGCCTGGTGATAATGATGAAAAGAGACAGATAGGACGTCGGTATAAGTCACAGTTATGATTTCACAGATTCGAGATAGATTGGTAGCCCAAACGGCCCCAGGCTTTCGCCCATGCACACTAAGTGATTTTCATTACAAGCATTTAGCTTTCCGAAGTCTATGAGAACAATTATTTGGCACTGATGGCCGCGAATTTCGTGCCAATAAGCTGCCTCAACTTGTTCGATTATGTTATCAACTCAATTTCATATTTATTTTCACATTTTTGCGGTCCTTCTCTGGGTTTTTTTTTCCGTTATTTACACGTGTAGGTCATTTCATTGTTATCCACATTTGATATCATCATTTATCACATACTGCCATGACGCTCGTCTGTCCGCTACAACTGTCAAGAATTAACGCGATTGGCGAAACATAGTGACAGTGGGCCAATAGAAAGCAGGGTCCTTGCCATTAGCTGCGGTTTGTACACCAATTTTCGTAGTGCATTAATCAAGCCGAATAGTTTGGCTGAAGATTCAGCTATTCGGTCACGCTCCTGGCTGAATATTCTGTATTCGGCCTGAAGCCGAATATACTATTCGTTGCAACACTAGTAAATATTGATTATTATTTCTTATTGAATAATGATAATTTTATCAAAATAAAAACAACAGAATATTTCTAAAAAGTTGATTTTGGTATTAAAAAAGGAACATATATTTAAAAAGATAATTACGAATATCCTGTTATACAAAGAAATAATATAACTAAGAATAAAACAAATATTTTGAAATCAATTCAGCAAGAAAAACTTTCATCAAGTAACTTATAAACTTGTTAGGAGATTTTCTTGTCAAAGTATTGGCAAGATGATTAAGGAATTTAAAAAACTTTTAGCATTGTATCTGATGAGCCAGATGAATGAATATAAAATCATAATGAGATAAGAGTTCAATGGACTGCATTAAACATTATTATAAATAATATATTCAACAGATATTTGGATAGCGACTTGCCTAACTAATATTTTTTCATATTAAATAGTTTTTAAATCACTGCAATTAACTATTCATTGTTAAAATATTTTTTTTGAAATGATTTGCTGTTCATCAATAAAGTGCTGCTATTAAATCATGAAGTAGATCCTGTTATTAATGAAATACTGGTTTAAAAAATTATTAAAAATTCCTAATATATATCTATATCAAAACTAATGGCTTTAAAAATACAGTTAACTTGTGTTAATACAAATCACTAGGGAAACAGTAGTTAGTTTGCTTTATAGAAAATTTGTATTAATAATTTTCAAGGTCTAGGTCAAGGCTGTATAATTTAGGAAATTAAGGATTAATAAGCAATTGAAACCTGTAAATTATAATATTTTGAATTTATTTATTAAATAAAGTTAAATATAATTAAATTTATTTACAAAAATAAATTAATGATCTAAATGATTTTCAAATAACAATTTGTGTGTGGAGCAGTATACAAAGCCAAGATAAAAGAAATCCATGATTTGTTTTTCTATTTGAAAAAGTAGAAAATATTTTTTGAAGCCAAAAGAATAAAAAAGGAGCCAAATTTAGCACAGAGTAGCTAAACCTATCATCACTATATGCACCCCCGATATGCAAAATAGCATGTGTTTGCATGGAATCACATCCATTTAAATGGGTGATGTTCTCAAGCTTTAACTCCTATTTTCTGCATACAATAGAATGATCTGCTAAAACCAGATGTTTGAATTGTTCTACAATTGATGGTTGAACCCACCTTTGCTTACTAGGATAAAATTATTCTTCTCAAAATAGAACATTTATTACAGTACCAATTTGCTTTTTACACTTTTCAATGTAAACAATAAAATCATTATTGGAAATAGGGTTATTTCTTCCAATTGTGAGGTAATTTACAGTTCAGTTTAATAAATTCTGGTAAAATTTTTGTTCACTTTATCACATGAAAATTGACATAGTGATAACAGTGTTTTGCCAGGGAAACAGAAAAATTCACTTTAACACAAGAATTCACTTTATCAGTGTTTGTTTTAAGGTGAGGTCAACTGTACTTTTGAATAGCTTTTTGGAAATAGAATATGCATTAAAAAATTTTTTCTGAATATTATGTAATCAGTCTAGATCAGGGGTAGCCAACAGTTTTTGCCTCTGGGCCAGATTGGAAAGAAAACTTTTTCCACGGGCCGAACCAGAGGCTGCCTAGGAAGATTTTGAGGTGGTGTGAGATGTTGTGGGGTCACCCCGTAGAGATTGAATTGGAGATAGAGATTACAGATACATTTTTTACATTATCATGCTTTATCAACACACTACACTGTACTTAGGAGATTTGTAATGGAGGGTTAACTTTAAACACACGAGTGACTTTTTTTTTTTTTTTTTAGGCATCAGAATTTTTCATTGAGCTATTCGGACTTCACAACCTAATATTGAAAGATTGATTGCGGGCCACATAAATTCATTAGACAGGCCGGATCTGGCCCACAGGCTGTATGTTGGCCATGCCAGGTCTAGATGAAGCCTTCAAAATGGAATAAAAATCAAACTCAAATATCTATTCTGATAATTATACAAAAGTTAATGCAAATTTAAGCAATGTCTCTTTTTTTTTCAAACTTTAATTATTTGAGTAGAGTCATGAAAAATTTTTGAATATTGTACAGACTGTAATAGATCTATTATTGATCCATCAAATTAATGCACTTTCAGATATCATTTTATTAATTTTTTAATATTAATTTGAATTTAAGTCTGATTATATGGAAATTCAAATATAATTTTTTATAATAATGTTTGAAATAAATTCATACTAAAGCATAAAAATTCCTGAAATGTTCTTACTTTAAAACTATATTATAAACTGTACCTTGAATAACATCAGCTGGATACACAAAGGCACTAGGTACAAATCCTTCTTGACCATCTGATCGCACAATCCAAAACCAATCAGGATCTTCACGATTTAAAACAGTCACAAATTCTCCTCTTTCTACACTCACATCATTTTCATCTCTTGCTATAAATGTATATAATACAACATATCTTCCTGCCGGATCTTTAAAAAATGGATGAACATCAGGCAAAGAAGTCTGAGACGATGAACTAGGATTCTGAAGATTATTATTTGATTTTGATTCTTGACCTCCTCCGTAACTTTCTGCATCAGAATGTTGGCCACTATCTGCAGACTGTGTTCCACGTGAAGAGGTTTGGTCCATTTCAGCTTCCCTCTCATTTCTTGGAAGTTTTTTGTGTTTTACATTTAATGCTAATTCAGCAAGATGGCTGCCAAAGGAAGCACAATATGAATGTGGAATGAAACCTTCATGATTGTTTTCGGCAATTACATATACCCAATCATTTTCCTGGTAAAGAACATTGACAGTCTGTCCACGTTTAACTTCTAGTTCATCATCCACACATGGTGTAAAATCATGTAGTACAACCATTTTTGAATCAGGAGATAATCCATTTTCTTTTTCAATTCCTACACGAACTAGAGTTTCAATGCTGGCACTTCCAGTTATTCGTCCAATGCTAGGAGTCCTACTGGAAAGTTTATCACCGTCTGCAGGAAATTATAAATTTTAAAATTCATTACTACTTTGTAATTAATATAAGAAACATAGTTAATAATTTTTATTTTTATTAAAAATAAGTTTCTTTAGGTGCTGAAATGAATAATATTAAAGCACAGTAAAGAAACATCTGTCAAAATCAATTTTTTTATCAATACAGGCAGTTCCCACTTTACAAATTTTTGAGTTTACAATAAAAATTTTTTGTTTTAAAAATATAGCCTTAGCTGCAATAAATACAGGCCAGACATTTTAAACACTATATTTCAAATTTTGGATGTAGCAATACTGTTTGCTGTGTATACATATGGTATACATAGCTGTCTAATAAATTTGGTCATGCTGATTTTCATCTTTGTTGTCATACTCTTTTCAAACTGCAGTTAAATAATAATCAAACAACGACAAAAAAAACCTTTAAAATGCAGCTTTTTATTAACTAATTGAACATTTTCAGCCATTTGAATGACCTTCCTCAGGAATAAAACTGAGGAAGATCATTCAAATGACCAAATGACAATAGTCAAAAACATTCAATTAGTTAATAAAGGCATTTTAAAGGTTTTTTTTGTCAATGTTTGACTTGTTATATCAATTAAATAAAAAACATGCTAAAAAGGGGATAAATATAAAATATACCAAAAATAATAATGTACAGATTTCAATTAATAATAATAATTAAAAAAAATCAACAAAAAGCAATAAGATTCGGAAAATAATTACTGTCTTGACTGTTTATGATTTCCTATTATCCTTTTTCATTTGTGTATTTCTGTAAAATGAAAAACTATCTGCATTTAATTGAGTTCTGTTCAAATATAATTACTGTACTTAGCATTTGAACTGTTGTTAAAAAGTAAAACTAAATCTCCATAATGAGAAAATGTTTGAGTTTTTTTAATAATTTGGAATAGTTTTATTTTCCCATGCAGGACAGGAAATGAATTAAAAACAAAATAATTCAATTTTTTAAGATCTAGCCTATTAATCATTAGCTTATTTTTGTGTAGGATACAATAGTAGAATGAATAGCTATAAATTATTATTACATTCTTATTTGAAATTTATCAGAATCAAATGTCCTAAAACAAATTAAACAACATTACAAAACTTTTGCTTATAATTATCATTATTTTACTTATAAGTTTGAATTTACTTACAGTTAAAAATAGACAACTGACAAAACAGGTAATGGTTATAAGATATATTGATCTCAAAAACATTAGCACAATAGTCAAAACTGATTTAAATTAACTCAATTACATAGGATGTTTACTTTTAATACATTAAATATTCATTTTAATTTTGTAGCAATTCCATAAACAGTACTATACTGTTGTTTAAATTTCAATTTCTGGTACTTATTACTTAATTCTAGTTGCTAGCTATATGTTTGGTTGTTGTTAAAGATTAATCTTCATTACCGTTTAATTAAAGTACTGCAATGTACAGTATTGCATCTCTTTGCATAATGGAAAAAAGAGAATAAAAATGCAAAGATTTATCTGTCAAAGATAAACTTGAAATTTTAAAATATTATGATAAGTTGCCAAAAATGAGTCAATGCAAAGCTGTTGTACAGATAAAAA